TTCTACCTTTTTCCCCTGTCCGTAATTCCACAAATCAGCATTTTTCCATTACTTTCCTCCGTTTCTAAGGCGCAACAAAATAAAACTTTAAGAGAAAAAAAAGGGTGTGCCTCAGCCCCCCTACAACCCGGGAGAGGGGCCTCACACTTTTTAAAAGTGCGGGGCTCTATTTCAAACCTACTGCCAAAAATGGCAGAAGTATTCCAGTCCCAGAGCTACAGTCCCGTGCGAACCGAAGGTAATTGGTTAAAATCAACGGTCCGGACTTCTTTAAACATTAGCATGGCCCCCCACGCCCCCCGCTTTAAAGGGGTACCAGGTACGTCAGGGAAAAAAGGGGGCCCGTGGTTTCGACCCCCCCACTTAAGGGTGTAAAAAAAACATCCCAACATTATAGGCCAATAGGCCAAAAGGGCAGGGGAAATGGCCCCTTTGTGCCGCTAAGGATCGTTTGTGCTCTTTTTTCCAATGCATTGTACAAGTTGGTGTTAATTTCTGTTAGGTTGCTCCTGATGGTGTCGCTCCATCTCTTTCGTGGTCTTTCCCCTTGCTTTGTGTTCATTATATTTCTTCACCGTGGCTCTCTGTGGCAGTTAGTACCATGGCCTTTTCGTCAGGTGGCCAAACCATTTGTTGATCTTTAATGAATTGTATGATTGGTTTCAGTTTCTTGAAGCATCGACACATGTAAAGGCGAAAGATTCTAAGAAAAGAGGGGGGGGGGGGAACGAACATAAAGCTTACGTTCATAGTTGATTCTGAAATTGACCGTGACCTGAAAAGCTTGACCCACTTTAGCGACGACGAACTGAAACTGCGCGATGTTTTGTTTTGTGAGGTACTTGGAATTGAGGTTAAGGCGGTCACACACGGAGATGTATCTCTTGGATAGGGGGTCTGGATGATCGGTGGTGGACGGAAAAATCTCATCATCCAGCTCCCATCCGTCAAAAATCTGTGCGAGTAACCAAATAAAAATAAAATGAGTAAAAAAAAAATAAATTTAGTAAAAATAGGCTAAATGGAATTCATTTTCGTCGTCATCTCATCTCATCTCATCTCATCAACATGGTCATAATAATAGTTTATTAATTATCCTGATTTGCTACTATATGTCAGATAAAGCTCACAATCTATTCTTCTGCCTCTGTGTGTGTTTGTGCATGTGTGCTTGTGTGTATTTGCGTGTGTCTGTGTCTGCGTGTGTCTGTGTGTGTGTGTGTCTGTGTGTTCGTGTGCGCGTGTGTATGTCTATGTGGGTGTATGTCTGTGTAGGTGTATGTCTGTGGGTGTAAGTTTGTGGGTGTATGTCAGTGTGTATATGTGTTTGCGTGTGTATCTGCGTGCGATTTAGTCTGGGTGTGTGCGTTTTTATGTGTCTGTGTGTATCTGTGTGTGTTTGTTTGTAGGTGTGTCTGCGTTTGTGAGTGTGTCTGCGTTTGTGAGTGTTTGCGCACGTGTGTATGTGTCTGCGTGTGTTAGTGTGTTTGTGTGCGCGTGTCTGTGTGTGTGTGTCTGTGGGTTTGTGTGTCTGACTGTCTGCGTTTGTGTATCTATGTTTGTGTCTGTGTGTGTGTCTGTGTATTTATGTCTGTGAGAGATTGTGTGTATGTGCGCACGCGTGTGTTTGTTTGTGTGTCTGCATTGTGTGTGCCTAAGCCGTCGTAGCATTGTCTTCTGATCTCGAATGAGTCGTTTGTACTTGTACACTGTTCACTTTGTCCCTTGTGGAAAGATGACAGACTCTGTCTCAGCATATCTAGCATACCGCGTGCCATCAATTTTAATACGGGTCCATCATTGCAAGCAGAACACTTGAACGACAGGCATCGCGCCATTTTAATACTGAATCTACAATTCACACCACCACGTTGGTCACAGTCGAAAAAAAAAAAAAAACATTCCAAATGCAATCCGCAGCTCACAGGGTCACGCCATGCATTCAACTCAGAAGCTGGGCGACGAAACTATATCCAGTCTACAAATGGAGCAAAAATGCATCGGCCACCGTCCGGCAGAAGCAAAAAATTTGCATCTGTTCCGAACGGCGCCGCTGTCTAGCGTCCATTTTAACCGGAAGAAAGATAGAAGAACACACTAGGCAACATAAAAATCGAAAGCTATAGTTACCGTGCCGGGAATCGAACCTGTCACCTCCAGACGGCGTCTGCGCCTCGCCATGAATACAAGTGCACTAAGTTACATGGTCAACTAGGCACCCCCCAAAAAAAGGTGTCTCATTGGCCATGTCTATCGTACAGCTTGAAATCCACGACTATGGAATACGGACAGAATTCATTTCAACCCATTGAAATTGCACCATAGGTTACAGAAACGAAGCAAATGTCGAATAACGATCACAGCAACAATTTACGAACACAGTAAGACCTTATTGCTTTGTCTAGAATACACAAACATTTAAGAAAGGTATTTGATTGGTAGGTTCCGGAAAAAATAAAAATCAGATACGAAGATGATTGGAACCCAAGTTCTTGTGATCTGCGTGGATATTTATCGTGGTATGGGACGTCGCAGGTCGTCCAAGCCTCCAATGGGTACCAGGACGGGCTGTCTTGGGAAAGTAAAGACGGCCGGCGTAATGCTGACCTCATTACCCACCGAGTGCCGATTGGTCTGTAAAAATATGGGTGCTCTTCCCATTGCCCGATGCGCCTAAGGGCTTGTAAAGGGATCTTTACTTTACTTTACTTTACTTTCTCGTGGTCTGCTGGTAAATGTCTATCAATGTACAAATATACACACCACTCACCCAGAGGAAGCTCTCAGAATCACAGTCCATATCCAAAATGGTAAACTCCAGCTCGATGACGTGATCCAGTGGAGCGGCGATATACAGTGAACATAATTCCTTACTCCCATCGCTGATGTATGTGTACAGTCCGGGTCTTGAACGCAGCTCCTGTTCCCTGCAAGCTAGAGGATCAAACCACGAAGATCAGACCCCTGCTTACATGTCTTTTTTTAAATGGACGTTCGTGGCCAAAACAAAACAAAAAAGAAGAAAGATCATTATCTCTTTCAGCCCCAGTCAGTTATTACTCTTACTCCCTTTGTTTCCAGGAACCAAGATTCAAAGCAAAAAGTGTTTAGTTCTGAAGGACCTTAACAGAGACACATTGAGGCAGAATGAGTTAGGTCAACGCAGACGGGTTGATTAAACATCTGCCTGTTGCAGAATAGAGCAAGGACATAATATTATTTTTTGATTCTTCTTTTGCCTTTCTATCCCCCAATGGAGCATAGGCCTTCAACCAACTCACGCCAAGTCGTTCTATCCTTCGCCAATGCATGGAGCTCTCCCCATGTCCTTCCCATCTTTTAAACTTCATTCTCCAGCTCTCTTCTCCATGTGTTTTTGGCCTTCCTTTATTCATATGTCCCTGCGAGATCCAATGCAAAGACATTCTAGTTATGCTGTTCTCCTGTTTTCTAGGTGTGTGTCCTATCCAACGCCAGCGTCTTTTCCTCACCTCTTGGTCCACTGGAGCCTGTTTAGTTCTCTTTATTCTATCATACCATTTAATTCCCTCTATTCTGCGCAGGCACCAGTTAATGAATGACTTCAATTTTTTAGTAATTGCCTTGGTTGTTCTCCATGTTTCCGCCCCATACAATAGCACTGATTTGACATTAGAATTAAACATTTTTAGTTTAGTATTTCTTTTAATTTCTTTTGACCTCCACAAACTCCCTAGTGCTATGAAAGCCCCTCTTGCCTTTTGTTTTCTTATTTTAATATCTCTATCAGTTTCTCATCTATCTATCTATCTATCTATCTATCTATCTATCTATCTATCTATCTATCTATCTATCTAATCTATCTATCTATCTATCTATCTATCTATCTATCTATCCTATCTATCTATCTATCTATCTATCTATCTATCTATCTATCTATCTATCTATCTATCTATCTATCTATCTATCTATCTATCTATCTATCTATCTATCTATCTATCTATCTATCTATCTATCTATCTATCTATCTATCTATCTATCTATCTATCTATCTATCTATCTATCTATCTATCTATCTATCATATCTAATCTGTCTATCTATCTATCTATCTATCTATCTATCTATCTATCTATCTTAGCTATCTATCTATCTATCTATCTATCTATCTATCTATCTATCTATCTATCTATCTATCTATCTATCTATCTATCTATCTATCTATCTATCTGTCTGTCTGTCTGTCTGTCTGTCTGTCTTTCTGCTCTGTCTGTCTGTCTGTCTGTCTGTCTGTCTGTCTGTCTGTCTGTCTGTCTGTCTGTCTGTCTGTCTGTCTGTCACTGTCTGTGATCTGTCTGTCTGTCTGTCTGTCTGTCTGTCTGTCTGTCTGTCTGTCTGTCTGTCTGTCTGTCTGTCTGTCTGTCTGTCTGTCTGTCTGTTCTGTCTGTCTGTCTGTCTGTCTTTCTGTCTGTCTGTCTGTCTGATCTATCTATCTATCTATCTATCTATCTGTCTGTCTGTCTGTCTGTCTGTCTGTCTGTCTGTCTGTCTGTCTGTCTGTCTGTCTGTCTGTCTGTGCAGGTCTGTCTGGATATTATCTCTCCGTGGTATTCTTGGTGGGCCTCGTGGTCTGCGACTATTCATCTCCCTTGTGTATACAGTTTGTACCTGTCTGTCATCTGACATTCTTTCAATATGCCCCAAGCATTTCAGTCTATTATCTCTCATGATGCCAATGATCAGTGGTGATTTAAACAGATAATAAATTTCGTTGTTGCTTCTCACTCTCTATTCACCGCTGTTTGCATCTCTGATGGGTCCAAAGATTCGTCGTAAGACTGTTTTCGAAAACCTGTAATAAGGTTTCATCTCTTTTAGTTGTGCTCCAAGTTTCAGAGCGATATAAAACGACCTTTCTTATTAACGTTTTATGTATTTTGATCTTAGTGTTGCGAGACAGACACTTGGACTGTAGCAGATGTTGAAGGGCATAGCATACTTTATTTCCAGATTTCTTTTTCCAGATTTTTTTCTTTCTCTCAGCATGTTGGAGCAGTCGAAGTTTGCACCCAAGTACTTATATGTTTCCGTTCGTTTGATTTTCATATTATAGACTTGTATGTTTCCGGACTTTATATCCTTTCCCTGTCTAGTTATCATGTATTCTGACTTATCTTGATTGATAACCAGTCCCATTTTCTGAGCTGATTCTTTTAAGTCAGTGTTTTAACAGTCTCTAGTTAATTTTCTCCAACGATATCGATGTCATCAGCATATCCAAGTATTCTTGTAGATTCTCCTATAGTACACTTTTGTTTCAGTTTCCTTATAATTTTCTCCAGGGCCAAGTTGAAAAAAAAGTGGGGACAAAGTATCACCTTGCTTTAAACCAGATGTTATTTTAAAAGGGTCTGACTTTCTGCCTTTAAATATTAGTGTCTTCCATTTATAGTTTGGTCATGTTAATTAACTTCTTTGATATTCCAAAGTCTTTCATATCATTCCATAAACTGTTTCTATGTACACTGTCATACGCCTTTTTAAAATCCACACAAACATTTTTTACATCTTTTCTATATTTACAATTTCGCTCTGCTATTTGCAACTGTACACATTAATGAAATAACTAATCAGCGAGCGAGCAGAGAGCATTACATGCACTGAACTCCTGAATCATGGGACACAAACTGGGGAATAGGCGATGAAATATTAATTAATTCATTACATTTCATTGTGCTCTCAAGTGTAGGGTTGAGTATGGGGAAAACAATAAATTATGACCTCAAAAACAGGAGCAGGACAGCCGTGTCATCATTGCTCGAATAATGGAGTTAGAGGTAAATTCCCCATACATAGAGAGAATAACTAATGAGATGTTATACAAGAATTAACTCGAATGTTTAAATAAGAACTATGGGGCAACTTTAATACAAACTGGAGCAATGGGATTTGTGCCATAATTTGGTTAAAGAAGATTGAGTACGAATGGATACACGGGAGTGGCCAAGCTGTTTAGAACACAAAGCTATCCTTTGAGAAACCCAGGTTCGAATCCTCGGTTAGTTAATGCATTTTTTTATTCAGTCGTGGCAAAAAATAAATCCTTACCGTCAAGGAAAAGAGAGCAATTGGTAGACAACCTTACAAGTGGGGGGACAGCGTTAAGAGATGGACGAACAGCTGTTCAGAGAGTGTAAAAACTAAGACAAGAGACAGAGTGGGTTGAACGTCCATTGCATCCAACCTTCATTATGGAGACGGCACCTTATTGATTAAACCGTGGCGACTCCACAAGCCACAAAGCCCTGTATCCTTAGGCTTAAGTGCATCTTGCAGTCCATGTGTGGCTTTGGAAATCATGTCTTTCTCCAGCTTTCTAGCTTTCTCACTTTCAGCCACTTACAATACAGTTAACACTATGCTATCATTCCCAAACGTGGACACTTACATCCTCCAATGAACGTAAAATTGTGACAACAGAGATGAAATGCCCTAGACGAGCTGCAGGAGTTTCGAGGAAATACAGAATACGAAATCATGAAATCAGACGAATGCTAGGAATAAAGCCAGTCTTACAGGTCATCAAAGAACAACAAATGAAGTGGTTTGGACGCCTAACAAGAATGCCCTGGTACTATCCGCCACAGCGAGCCACACTAAAACGTTAAAACGGGTATAAAGCGAGTGGAAGACCTCGGAAAATATGGAGTGATGGCATTAAGAACAGCCTTACAGAAATGAACATCAGTCTTAATAGTGCTCTTGACAGAGCCAATCAACGAACATTACATCTCCCCCCGACACTTCGATGAGGTACAAGGTGAAAGAGAAGAAGAAGAAGAAGAAGAAGAAGAAGAAGAAGAAGAAGAAGAAGAAGAAGAAGAAGAAGAAGAAGAAGAAGAAGAAGAAGAAGAAGAAGAAGAAGAAGAAGAAGAAAAAGACAATACAGTTAATCTTTGTCGCGATGTCAAACTAGGCAACGTCTTCTCTGTCGGTCTCTTCTGCCCTCCAACTTTCCCACCGTCACGATGGACTCCAGTAACCTCCTTCTCATGACGTAACCAACAAAATGTAGATTTCTTCTTCTGGTGCAAGTGATCAGTATTCTTCGTGAATTAATTTCTGTCAAGACTCCTTTCACTATTTTTTTGTTAAAAATCTGTCGACGTTGTTCTCACCATTAGTCTATTAAAACACACCTCTACCGCTTCCACTTAATTGTTGACGAATCGTATTGACTGCTTTGAAAATAAAGTAGGCAGTACAAGGAGAAAGGATAGAGCCAGGAAATGTTGAGTCTCTCAATGAAGCAGGACAAGTCAATGATTCAGGAGGCGGCAGGAATCGTACCATGACTACAAGAACTTTAGTCAAAAAAGATGATGCCAGAATAAACACTTTAAAGGTAGAAAAAAAAAATAGTAGTACACCAACATAAACATGGAGCTGTCAGTCGCCACAGGCTGAGGGAGATACTGAAGAAGGGATCCGAGTTACTATGAACTTCTCTGTTGTGCAGTGAGGAGGATCGATGGCTTAACTAACTAACTAACTAACTAACTAACTAACTAACTAACTAACTAACTAACTAACTAACTAACTAACTAACTAACTAACTAACTAACTAACTAACTAACTAACTAACTAACTAACTAACTAACTAATAGCTAGCTAACGATCTAACTAGCTAGCTAACTAACTAATCAACCAACCAATAACTATCAAGCTAGCTAGCTATTTAGCTAACTAACAAACTAACTAGCTAGCTAACTAACTATCTAACGAGTAAAGATAGTTTAACTAGACGTTATTCACACTGAGAAATGGTAAAGACAATATAATGACCCCTGGCTACAGGTCTGCTAGCTTTTCTCTTCGTGAAAGACTGAGTGTGTGAGGTTCAACTCCACCGTGACCGCACAACGAACGATAAACACACGGTAGCACAAAGTGCTAG